TGAAAAGCGGAGGGACGTTTCGAACGATGCTGCATCCTTGTATGAGGACTTATTAAGAAGGAAGGATGAAGATCCTCGTTGGTACATCGCAATTGATTGGGACAGAGAAACATATAGTCTCCGAAGATTATTTTGGATGTCCCCCGATCAGATTATTCTCTGGATGAAGTTTAGTGATATTATTTTAAGTGATAATACCGCAAAAACAAATCGTTACGATATGGCTCTATGTCTTTTTTTATGCATTGACAATCATGGGCTTTCCCGGTTGGTAGGATGTGCTCTTATAGACGATGAGTCAGCGGACTCTTACTGATGGGTTTTATGTCAGACGAAACTTGCTACAGGTGGTTGCGTGCCCGCTGTTGTTATGACTGACGCTGATCCGGCTTTGGATCTCGCTATTTCAGAAGAGTATGAAGAATCCTATGCTATGCATTGTATTTTTCATATTTCTCAAAATCTTCCTCGAAATCTTGAGGCCCAATTGGGTCAACGGTATAATGAATTTGTTAAGGACTTTTATGTAGCCCGAAATTCACTTGTTCCAGACATTTTTGAACGTAAATGGGTACAGCTAACTGAAAAGTATAATGAACCTAGAGTGGTTAAGTATCTACGAACATTATATTCATCAAAGAGTGCATGGGTGCGTGCATATACGGCAAAGATTTTTACTGCCGGCATTCAAACAACATCAAGAGTCGAGAGCTATAATGCTCAAATAAAACGATTGGTCTTGAACTCTAATATTAGCCTCCTTGAACTTGCTGAAGCTTTGGAAGCAAACATAAGTGAAGAAAGAAACAGATCTAAATATATTTACTGGAAAACTCAGATTCCATTAACATCATCTGTCATCACGCTACCACAAGCATTGTTTCCCGAAATTGATAGGGCTTTGAGCTGTTTTCTTACACCTGCAATGCTAAAAGTTCAGCGCACTGAGATTAAAAGTTGCTTAAATTATCAAGCATCTGCCATTACAAAAGCTGAACTAATTAAATATCAAGAGGTATGCGTTATATTGCTTTTAAAGATATTGTAATTGGATTACGGTACGATTCCCGAAAGTTAGTTCCTCTACAGGCCACTTACCTGACATAACACAGGATGACAAACTGCTAAAAATGTATAGCCGCAACTAATCAAATGCTAATCCTAACCCTATGTGATGTTGGGTAAGTGGCCTGTAGGGGAACTAACTTTCGGGGAATTGTGTGACAACCTTATAATTGATGTTATACTTATAGAGCTTTTTATTTAAGCCTGAATCAGATGCTATACAATTTATTGAAGATGACGAAGATGTAATGCAGGTTTCTATAAGCTATGTGCTAAAAAATGTGGACGTCAATCAGATCGAAGAAATCTGGGCCATTCGCATAATTACGGCTTCAAAGTTCTGTCATTTTGTTATCCTTCTTTCCAATAAGACTTATGTGTGTTCTTGCTTAGG